TAATATAATACAATAGGTTTGTTCTTCTTGCGTACACTTTGTACACTTTAGTGTAAAGTGTACACATTAGCGTTCTTCTTGCCGGAAGTGACGTTAAAGTGTGTGATTACACGCTGTTCGTCTTGAGAGTGTATCACACTTTTATGACATAATTTACACTTATTTTACACCTGCTTGTGAGGTGGTGTAAAAGAAGTGTAACGTTACACTTTTGTTTGTTTTTGTTTGGAATGTGATTCTTGTGAGATATTCATCGAGTTAGATAGCAGGTTATAAATTTGTATATGTACAATGTACAAATGCATGTAAATTATATTATACGTGTAAATAGTGTAATATAATAAACCAAGGTAGATTATAGATTTTAGGTTTTCTTTGATTAGTAGTTCCGTTTCTCAATGGAAAAAGTACAAGTTGCAAAAACCGCAAATATTTATCGAAATGACAATAATGAGATTATTGTTGATGAGGAGGGTTATATAACATGCCAAACCGACAGTATGTATTCTTTTTTAGTTTTTATTTATATGTGTGTTGTGTGTGTATTATTAATTACTGTTGATTATAGGTGGATTAATTTTTAAAGTACACTCATCGGAAGTAGATTTTAATGGTCCACCTATTAAGTGTACTATTAATAACAAAGACATTTTAATATCATTGGGGTCAATACCGAGAACGATAGACACGTCGTCGAGAATTATTTTAGCTGAAGTTGCAAATCAAGAAAACCGGCAGCCTAATGTTGCTCGGCATACATCAGAAATCTTTTCGTGGAACGATGCAAATACGAAGCTGTTTTTATCATTATACAGGGAAATGAAAAACTTAGTTGCTTCCAAAAAAATAAAAAATTTTTAAGAAATGTGGAAACGCATAACTGATGAAATGAACAACTCAGGATATGACGTGACTGTAACACAAGTGCAGAATAAATGGAAAACACTAGATCGGCAGTACAAGAAAGTTATTTTTAATAATAATCAGACTGGAAGAGGGCGGATCACTTGTAGTTATCAAGCGTACGTATAGCTAAAATTGAAGTAATTAGAAAGCACAACAAATTAATGCTTTATTGTTTATTCATTCTTGCAGGGAACTGACTGAAATTTTGAGCAAGCACCACAAAATAGTGCCACTTGCTGTNACTGGTTCTGAGATAGGAGTTATGGTTCGGACTAATAATGTGACAGATTCCGAAGCTTTACTAAGGTTTGTTTTCTAGATACTAAGATCATCTATAAATTGTGATTTAAGTATATTTATCATTGTATATTCTGAACATTGTGCATAAGTATTTTAGCAAATTAAGTTTATCTTTATTTGTATCATTAGTGCCCCAATGTTGATGCCAGTCTCCGCAACACCTGTATTGCCAACGAGTGCAAATGTAGAAGGAAGCAAAGAACTTGAAAATGTGACTTCTCCTAATGAATGTGATGCAATGACCGGACCAGTACTTGAAACTAACAATCTCACTGCTGTTGCC